GGTCTGTGACCAATATAATTAAGCGCCTTAATACCTTCGCTACGCACTTAATGGCTAGGTGTTCTTTTTTCTCTAATCATATAATGTTCTACCTGAGGAAACAGTTTATGACTTACATAAAACTGGGTGTTTCTTTTGACATGCTCCTGACTCAGCAGGGCTCCAAGCCCAACTTCTGAAGTGGTGGTGCATACTATAAATTTCTTAGCAGACCAGCAGTCTATGCAGCGCTCTGTGCAGGAAAGCTGCCAAACTTATTTGCGATCATAACAAATACCTTGTCTCAAATCTGTCTACATTTCTCTTCCCCCTTTTGTGTTCTTGTGCTTACATACGAAAACCTGCTGAACATATTAGTAAAGATGCAGAATTTTTCTTTGTTTACTTAACGTATAATTTCCTTGCACAGCAACTTGAAAGGAATACATAAAAGGAGAGAGGGTTGTTTTTAATCAGGGTCTGCAAAGCTTTTTTGATTTTCTTGATATCCCTTCAGAATGGTTGTCATTGAAGTTGTAGCCCACAAAAATGACAAACTGAAGTAATCCTATTCAGTCAAGTATAGATCAGTGCAGGAAAGTCAACAGAAGCCAACAAACATAGCTGGCTTTCCTAAGCATTGCTTAAGTGCAATAGCAGGAAAAGTCGTGAGAGACTCTTCTCTGTTGTTTTGTAAAGAGGAAAAGAAGCACCTGGTCAGTTTTCATTTAACCACAAGGCAGGAGAGATTGCTTTTGATAACACTCTTAATGTATCAATGGAATCTATTTGTTGAGAATGATTTTAAAGAGCTCCTAGCAGTGCTAAGCTTGCGTGTATCGGTGTGTGTGATTCGCTGTCACTTGGGATCCGTGCATTTTCAGATAAATACGGCCATATCTGTGCTTACTCAGTAAAATCCCAAACTTAAAGCCTTTTCCTCCTTTCAGTTTTCCTCCTGACTGAAGCAGTGTCTGGGCAGTCATGCCAGATAATTGCTGGGTAGAAGCCATATTTCTCCAACTCGTTTTCAAAGGGGAGAAAAGTGGAACTTCGCTTGGATGTAGAAATCCCACCACAATGTCAGTGACTGATCTTCTGCCATAGTTAGCTCTAAGGCTTAGCTTGTCTTCCTGATTTGCACAGATGGAACAAGTTTTTACATGTAGGCAATGAAAAATATACTACAGAAAAAGACATACAATCAAAGTACCTAGTCATGAGAAATAAAGTAATTCTCGACAGTAATTTTTCACTGTTAATCTGAAGAGACTGTTGCATAAATGGCTTATTAACCAAAATTCTGCAGACTTCAGAGGCTCTGTGTATAGAGCACACTGTGTGAGTCTTTCATCCATAGAAAATCCATTGACTTTGGCTGCTACTCGTGTGTATTTTTATGATGATTTATTTTCCGCCTTCTACTTCAGGGAAGTGTGTGGCACTGCTGTGGGGTCAGGTTCTCTCTCCAGTTCTCAGACCCACTTGTCTGTGTGTCTCCTACTTGCAAAACTGCTTCAATTATACTGCTGTGGGACACAGTGTCTGAATAATCATTTCTAATTGGATTATTTAGCTGTTGATGGTGAAGTGATGATTCTTTCTCTGATTAATTCTAACATATAGTCAAGATTAATTCCTTCAGAAGTGTTTCTTAAGCTAGGAATTCTAAGATACCAGCTAAACTGGATCGATCTTGCCTTAAGTATTTTTGTGTGCGTGCTTTTATCTGTTACTGCAGCTGAATATACCTGACTTCTTCTAAAATGTCTTGGAAAAGTATAGCAATAGTGGGGTGTGGTCTCCTTCTCAGCTGGAGGCCTGATGCTTTTTTAGAAGAAAAGACAATGAGCTTTTCAGTAGAAACATTGTTTAAATTTATGTAAGCAGTATCTGGAGGGAGTAATTGGAACTTGTATTTCTTCTCTGTTCATTGGTGATTTAATTCTTAGACATATGGCATTGAAGGGTTGAAGGGCTTCAGGGAGACTAAGATTCATTTTGACTGCATTACTGGAAGTTCTCATGGTAAGAAGATGGCAAGAGTAGAGACTAATGTTAATTGTTCTCTGCAGGAAAACTCTCGGAGATCGTTTAAAGCTTGAAGAAAAACTTGGCACACTCAACGTATCTGATACGACAGTGGGCAGCAAACAGGCTACGTTCAAATTAAAGAAGGTGAGATATACATAGATACGTATGTATACATTTAAGAGATGCAGAAGGTATCTCTAGGTTTAGCATGAAGGAACGGGAACTTTAAATCGGTCAGACACGTCCCTCTTCATCCCTTCATGTGCTGCCAGTGGTTCTGCTTCTCACCAAGAGAACGAAAGCCTCCAGTAGTACTCTGTGTGTTTATACCCTTATAAGCCAGGAAGCACTCGTAAAATCTTACGTTCCAGTGGAAAATACTGGCTTCCATATTTTAGTAGTGTATTTGCAGAGATATGTCATCAAAAGCTTGTGACCTTAGCTGACATCAGAGCCAGGACTAATCAGATTTTGGTTTGCAGGTCCTGACACAATTGGGATGCTGTAGGTGACAGGCTTTCTCCTGACTGATAATGCTGCTGGGTCTCAGCATGATTAAAACGGGGCTCCCGTCCACTTGTATCATTGAACTTGTGTGACGCAGATCATGAGAATGAGCTCTGATCTTGTGTTTGCCAAATTCCATTTGAAGTGTGTGGTTGACTGCTGTCCATCTGGCCTTTCCTAAAGGGTTTTTCTTTCCTATCTTGAGGAATTTTGTAGGTCACAGACAGCTGATTATTAAATAGTGTAGTTATAATGGAACGTGTGTGCGTCTGCTACTCCTGCTGCTTAGGTTTGGGGGTCTTTTTTGCTAGAACCGAAGACACATTCAGAAAGCTGAAGATTGGCATTCCATATTAATTGATAATTTTTCAGCTGATAAAATGTACTTCAGTTAAAAATGAAAAAAAAAAAATCTTCAAGTAAGGTTTTTTTCTTTCCAAATATATTTCTTAGCAGCTGTCAAATATTCTTCTCATCAGTGAAACTACCATCACAAAAAAAAAAAAAAAAAAAAAAGATCAAACTGATCACTATGACTGTGCCTGAATAAATTTTTAAAAAGCCAAATTTATGGAGGTATTTCTACATTACTTCCTTTACTTGTTCATTTACTGCTTCATCTGCTTTCAATTCTTGTATTTCTGGAATTTAAAGTCTGTTGATGTCTAAATCGGCCGCAGATTCCTCTGCAGAATAACCATTTTACCAACTGCTGTAACTGATACGTCAGTGTCTTGCAGCTGTGTAAAAAGCCTTTCCGGGGCTTCTAAAGCACAGTTTTTTTCATAGCCACTTTAAATTAGAAAAGGCTGAGTCACATCATTTCTTGCAATTGTTGGTAAACAATAAACTTTGTGAAGATTTGGATTCCATCAGATATGCAATAGCTTTGAGTTTTTTAATTCATTGCTGATCATGTACATCAACTGTTAACTGATGTGGCTTTAGTGAAATACAGAAATTGTGCTTGTTTGTATTTAAAAGATTTTAAAAGTCTAATTAAAAGAAAAAAATTGCCTACATTAAGTGTTGGGAAATAGGGAGAGCTAGGAAGAAGTCCTTGCAGTGTGCTTTGTTTTGATGCTCCTTTTTAGGCCTGAGCAATTCTATGATTCTGTGAAAAAGAGAAGCCAAAAGAGAATTCTGTATTACTCTGTATTACTCTGATCATCAGCTTCTGGTTTGTGATGCCCCGACCTTAACTTGCAGGAGTATATAGGAGTAAGTAGAAAGGTTTAGCAGAAAAGAGTTGTGCTTCCATGAGACTGATATCATTTGACCTTGTAAGTCAGTGGGGCTGTTGTGCTGTAGTCAAGCCCGCAGATGTTCAGCTGCCCCTGGCAGATTCAGCAATGAAATTTTGCCATTGATATTTTGCAGTTTAGTTTTCAGGGGATTTTAATTGGTTCCTACAATGTGAAGTTCTGTTCTGTTTTGTTTTTTTCAATTTCAGTGTGCTATATCACTGCAAATTAATATTAAAAACACATTCTAAATTGCTCAAGTATTTACAGTAGTACTGGACATACTTTTTTTTTCTTTTTTTTAATGGGGGGTTCAGGGAAAAATGGGCTGATGTGTTGTTAATTACAGAATTACAGAAGTGTTGTTAATTACAGAATTATTGATGCCGTGGGGATGCAGCTGTTTGAGTTACCGTAACTCTAGCAGTGTTAATGCAGCTATCCTGTGCTGCTGTTGAAATCACTCTAATTGCTGAAGAATTTTATAACATGGACACTTGCCTGAGCATGGGTAGTTCAAGTCTGCTAGTTCCAGTTCATGCTTATTTTCAAGACAAGCACTCAGGCTTCCCAATAAAATAGACATTAATGGCCGTAACAGCATTTCCCTCTGTATATTATGCAAGTTAACTCCTTTTGGTACAATTTTGATGAAGAGGAAAAACATTCACAGGTGCAGAGATTTTTGTTTATTGTCATGTTTAAAATGATTCTAGAATTGTCTACAACGGAGCAAACACTTTCATGAAATTCTAAGGCCACATTTTACAAAACCTGTTTGTTTCAGTAAAATTAAGTAAATTAGGATAAGATAATATGGGACCATTTCTGGGAACGTTTCCAGATTTCCCTAGGAGATTTCTGACTTGATATGTAAGTATTTGAACAATGATGTGGTTCATAATTTTACAAGAACTTGAGAGTTTGTTGTTTGTTTATTATTATTCTTTTTTTTTTACCTTTTAACATTCTAGACCGAGCACCAGAAGAAACAGCAGGAAGCTGAGAAGCAACATCGTCAAGAGAGGAAAGCTCTCAGGCGCTCTGCTGGTCATCTCAAGAGCAAACATGGAAGAGGACAACGGTTTCATTGATTTATGTTATCTTTTTAAGAAACTTTTTATTTTTAATTTGAAAGAGGGGCTTTGCAGTACCAGTGCATTTGTATTTTGTTTCATTGATGAACAGAAACCAGAACTTGTAAACTCTGTCTTAGTTATTGAAAAGTTACGGTGCATATGGTATATTATAAACTCCAGAGTAACTGTATTTGTGCAGAAATCACCAGCAAGTGGTTATTATGTAACCCTGTATGTTTTCTATATAAGAGTTTATGTATACAATGAGGCTGACTGTCTTTAATTTAAGAAAACTGGTTTTGCTTTCTGAAGTCTTTCTTTATGACTTTTTAGATACACGATCAGGAGAAAATTATTTTGTCTAAAAACTTTGCTCTACAAGAGCACAACAATCTTTTTTTTCTTTTATGCTGCTTCTTGTATGACATAACAACTATGTTTTTCAGAAATTGGCTTTGTCTCTTATGTTCTGGGTTGCCTGTATGTCCAAGAGGAGGTAAAAATGATTGCTGTGAGAGCAACTGAGAGTGGCAAATTGAGATTTCATTGAGTCATTCTATAAGCAGGATTCTCTTTCCACACTCATGTACAAAAGAGAATTGGAGAAGAATAGTCAAGTTAAATTTTGTGAGCATTGCATTTAATCAGAAATGGTTTGATATGTTTTGGTAAGCAAGCCATTATTCAAAGTAGGTCAAATAGTGTGTATTTGCATACAAGGCATATTAAGGCCACACAAGTAACCTCCATTCCTCCAAAGTTAGTTTAGGTAACTATGTTAAGAAACTAGGACATATGTTAAGAATATATTTATTTTGTGTGTCTTATTTTTGATTACCAACAGAATGCTTGTTGCTAAGCGGGGTAGAGCATTTCTTCTTGATACATTTTTAATTTTTTTTTAATCTAAAAAACCCTTAATTCATATATGTCATAGAATCATAGAATTGCACTGGTTGGAAAAGACGTTAAAGATCATCGAGTTCCACCACGACCAAACCATGCTACCCTAACAGCCCTCCACTAAATCGTGTCCCTGAGCAAACTAGTGTAATTCACTAGTTCAGTGAATAATTGTTTTTTACCTTTGATCTTAGGGGAGCTTTGTTATTGCTTTTTAAATGATTTTTTAAATTGTCTTTTCACTGTATCCAAGAACTTTGGATCAATGAATCTAAATCAAAAATCAATGAATCTACCCATGACTATAAATCACTTTGAGACTTGGAAGTCGTTAAGAGTTTTGCTTTATAAACCAGAAAGATTATTAATCCATTCAGATCTTCTGGACGGTATTTATCGTACTATTGAACCAAAAAGTTATGGGGAAATCTTGCTTTCTTAAAGCCTGATGCTTTTCTAAATCAAGATTGATTGTCTCTTAGATGTAGGATAATTGATCACACATTTGGATTTTTTTTTCTCTGTGTTTTAATTGTACCTGCTTTCATTTCTTGCTTCTGGTTTTAATTATATTGTTTCCTTTCATTTAAAATGTGATTTGCACAGTACGGTGAGGCAAACTAGAGATAGGAGTATGAGTAATGGATGCCAGCTATTCTGGAAAGTAATCCTAGAAAATTGGTGGCCTCAGATAGCATTTGTAAATGAGAATCTTAGAGTTGACTCAAGAGTCTGAATGTTCATGAGTGGCCTGTGTAGCTTCATCAGTTGTGATGTGCCTCTTCAGAAGGGAGACTACTGCATTGTAGATTCTTCGGCTTGTCTTTGCCCAGGAGCACCTGCCTTGTTGGTGGTTCTTTGTTCATTAATCTCTTTGTTGTGCACTTGATTGCTCAGGACTTACATGAGATCATAATGGAATAGGCAGTCATGTAATATGCAGAAAATGCAAAGCTCTGCGCAGTCTTCATCTTAGCTACAATTCATACTCACCAGTGGTTGATGCAGATTTTGAAAGACCAGTGAGAATTAATCAGAAACAGGTCTGTAGTTCTAAAGGAGGTGCAGTCCTGCAATAATCAGGAGCAAGGTTCATGAGCTCATGGTAATGATGTTCCACCAGCAGACCAAATTGACAAGTCTGTAATGAAGAGGCAAATCCAAGGGCAAGCTAGCAGGTAAGGATCTACCTGCTAGCTTGGAGGGAGGTACTTGGGTGGGCCTGGGCATACTTGCAGCATAGCTTAGAGGAGGATCAAGGGTGATGCAGTTCCCAGTCAAAGCCTTTGGCAGAGCTTTCCAGAGCTTTTTCACACAACTCTTCTCGTAGCAGTCCGGTACCCAATTACTTGGCTGTACTCTGCTAGAGCTGGCTTTAAGTACAGGCAATGAAACCCTTGGCAAAGGAAGAGGTAGCAGAGCCTGTTAGTGTACTTAGAGATTTGGCATGAAGCATGTTCAGATTCTTGGGATTGATAAAAAGCATTGATAAAAGACTAGGAGGGAAAGATTTGAGAGCTTCAACAGAAGCTGACATATTAATGCAGCATCATTGCAACTAATTAACTTCATAATGCAGCCAAAAAAGGCATTTATTAGGGTATCATTTTTGTTACATCAACTTTTATTTAGCTAACCACACCACTTTCCATACTACAGGAATCATTGTTGATTCAGTATGGCCATTCCTAGAAGCTGAGCAGCTGCTGAGGTATTTTTTTGTATTTAAGATTCCTGCTCTGAGGTAAGTGACTGTATGCTGTAGCCTTCTGGAAACCCTGACTTTTTGTATGTATGAAATTTAGTGGTGATAATCAGTTAGGAAAAAGAAAAAAAAAAAAAAAGAAAAAGCTCACTGTGAGTAACTTCCCTTTTAGAGGTTAAATGTGAGTGGAATTGTGGAATACTAGCAAGAGACTGAATCTGATGTACTTGAGTACTTGAGCTTATACTTGAGTACTTCTTTATTCCACAAGCACTGTTGTTTACATCAGGCCTTCAGTCATTCAGCTAACAATGAACCAGAATTTCTTGTGTAACTTTCTTTTAAAAATGCTGTTAACAGACCAAGAAGCAGTTCCTGTGGCTGCATAATTGTTTGAAATGGAGGGCATTCTCCAGTTTACACACAACAGGAGTGCTATGCTCCTCAACTGTGGCAAAGAGGTTCTGCTGGCCAGCAAAACTCCATGCTTCACTCTCTAACCATCTCCTCACTTAGCAGATGATGGGTGATGTGAAGCACTCAGTCTCTATTTTGTCTTTTGGCCCAGGAGGTTATGAGGATATTTCAGAAGTGATTCCATTCTCTCAGGGATGCCATGACATCACAGAACTTGCCTTCCCAGGCCCAAGATGATGCGTTGGGCAGTGGCATGATTTACCAGGTATGTTTCTGGCCACCTGGTTAGAAACCTTCTACCGTTGTGAGTATGTAGTGCATGGTCATTTCACTAGGCCTCACCTTATTGGAATCCTTTCCAGAGGTTACTGTTCTGGAGGGACTTCAATCACACAGCTAGCTTGATTGCAGCACGTTCCACACTGCTGGGTGAGCTGTGTGGTAGCCTCGATGGACAGGTCCATCCCTCAGTCAAGAGCCCATCTGTGTGTGGCATCTCTCCACAGACACCCTGATGTTTCATGGATTCACGAAGCCACAGACAGCTCCTAGTCGAAGGAGGGCCACTTCAGTTTTTGAAACCAAGTCTACTTGCTTATTTTTCTGGTATTCTTCAGAGGTTTGTTTCTTGAGTATGTGAGCATCTGTGTGCTGTACTTCTACAACAATGTTTTCTGCTTGGACAGCAATGCCTTGTATGTCTTGTCACAGTGCAACAGCCCAGATGAGTTCATCTCTGCACCACTACTGTTCTGCTTCCATTGCTGTAGCCACTCCCACAGGGTATTTGGCACAATCCATGACCCATTGTAGATTACTGTCTGCTTTCTTCTTTTGGCAATTTTTAGGGCCAGTTGGATGTCTTTTACCTCTGCAAATAGGTTAAACTTGCCTTCTCCTTCAGTACCTTCCTCATCTCATCACGTTGGACTCTATACAGCAGCTTACTACTTCTGATGGGTTCCTGCAACATGGACAGGATCCAGCAGAGACTGAAACATGCAATTTCTGTCTCTTCTGTTCTTGTAGTGCTCTAGAGCTCAGGGTGTATTTTCATTCAAGTATTCCATTGGGGTTTTTTTTTACGATTCTGCACTTCAGAGATGAAATTCAAAATCATCACAACCATGACAGGTACTTGTTCACATTCTCCCACATACCTTGCCACCCATCACCACATTGCCTTGGCGCAGATACCTGGTGATATTCTTAACTAACTGTTTAATCCTAGGAAGAAACAGAAGCACATGGAAGCTTAGTAATAAGAGTGTATTGGTTTCATCAACAAAAAGAACTCTCTACACCAAAATCAACCTGTCAATGTGGACAATTTACACATTCTCCACCCCTCATCCTATTACCACATTACTACCTCGCATATTCTTCACAGCTGTTACGTCATAAATTCTTCTGTTACATTCTTAGTCAATGTCCAGTCTGTGTTTTGCCCATTACTTCTCTGCATTATCATTCTTATGTTTAATTCCTTGAGCCCAAAGGGGATGCCACAAACAACTGAGGTGGTTTCACACTGATGGGCAGCCTCTCATTCCAGCTCCTCAAAGGAAAAGGGAAGGGGAGAAAATATGATGAAATACAAAAGGCTTATAGGTTGAGATAAGGATAATGTAAGTAAGGGGGAAAGAAAGAGAAATACAATCATGATTTTAAAAATAAAAAAAAAAAATGGAAAAAGGAAAAGCCATGTGGAAGAAAAGAGAGGGAAAATAGTTATTCTCTATGACCTGTCACCAAAAGATGTTTGGAAAAATCTTGTAACACAGGACTTCATTGCATGTAGCAGTTATTTGGGAGCACAGACGTTTTCATAACAAAAGCTCTCCTCCTTCCCCTTTCCCACTTTCATTGCTGAGCCATGGTATGGAATGTGTCTTTGGTTGGTTTAGGCCAGCTGCTCTGGCAATGTCTTCTCCTCACCTCTTGACCACCCGCCACTTGCTGGCTTTTGGGGTACTGGAGAGAGTCTTAATAATGGGCCGGTGCTGTGCAGCAGCAGCCAAACCATTGGTGTGATATCAACAGTGTTCTGCTACAGCTCAGAGCACTCGTGGGGAGCGTTAACTCCAAGCCAACCAGACCCAGTTCTGAGGGAGTAAGAATTTTCAAACTATTCCATCTTCCTTTGCGCCAACCTTTTCTGTGTGCGTGTGTTTGCGTTAGGTGGGAAAATGAGTAATAGACCTGAGTTCAAGGAAGAGAGACTCAAAGGGCAAACTTCCAATTTTGTCTGCAAGTAGCAGAACAGCTTGCCTGGGGAGTCTGTGTGGTGCCCACTGGAAGATTTGCAATGTCAGATGAAACATCTGCAGGAACACCAGAGGTACAGATGAGCGTGTCTGAGGAGGGGGAATGGATATGTAAACCTGGGAGGGCCCCTCAAGCGTGGTGATTGTAGAGTTGGTTGTAGCAGGGAACAGGCATGCGGCAGTAATGACTGGAGTCATTTTTCCCTTTTGCCCCATCCTTCAGCTGAATTGCTCACTAGTTTTATCTTTGTATCTCTTTCATGAAGATTAAGTACTTTTTTGGTGTGCATCCATAGCTAATATATTTTGTCTGATCTTGGGAAGCATGGGTTTTATAAGATGAATGAAAGTGCATAAATCTATTAATAAACTTCAGCTCTTGATCATTATCTCCATGTTTCAAAGCCCATTTTGCTCAATAACTGTCTCTTTGCTGTCTTGAAGAAGCAGTCCAATTGTATCACCAAAATGAACAATTATAGTGCAGCCTGCAGACAATAATCACAGAATCACAGAATCACAGAATCACAGAATCACCTGGGTTGGAAGGGACCTCAAGGATCATGTAGTTCCAACCCCCCTGCCTAGCAGGGCCACCAAACATCCACATTCAGATCAGGTTGCCCAGGACCCCGTCCAACCTGGCCTTGAACACATCCAAGGATGGGGCATCCACAACCTCCCTGGGCAGCCCGTTCCAGGGCCTAACCACTCTCCTTGTGAAGAACTTCCCCCTAACATCCAACCTAAATCTTTCCTCCTTCAACTTTGATCCATTTCCCCTAGTCCTGCTGTTGTCAGCCCTTCTGAAGAGTTTACTCCCCTCCTGGGTGTAGGTTCCCTTCAGGTATTGATAGGCTGCAATGAGGTCGCCCCGCAGCCTTCTCTTCTCCAGGCTGAACAAGCCCAACTCCCTCAGCCTGTCCTCATAGGGGAGGTGCTCCAGCCCCCTGATCATCTTAGTCGCCCTCCTCTGGACCCTTTCCAAGATCTCTATGTCTTTCTTGACATAGAGATCTATGTCTTTCTTGAATCTGAATCAGATTCAGCCAAGCTTGTAGTTTACACAACTGGAACAAAAAGAATCCTCATACTTTCAAGACTTTGCAGATGGATAAAGGTGAACTTTGTGATGCTGTTCTTAAGTCATTCTGTCTAAAATTGGCTATTCCTAATTCCCATACCCATTCCCCAGTGTAATCTTGGCTTTCTCCCTTTTCCCCCTTCCTCTCTTTGGTGACTGCGCTCACGTTAGCTGTGTTCTACTGTAGGTTCCTTCCTCTTTGTTCAGAGATCTATATGGAGCCTAGTGCAAATTTTTACTAAAGCAGCACACGTTGTCCTGTTTGCACTGTAAGTGGGATTTCCATATGAAAAACTTGCAAGCAACCCGTGGTACAGATGAGTTTGCACCCTGCATAAGCAGAGGTAAAGTAAGCAAATTTCCTTCAATATAAGTGAAGGAAAATTGCAGCGGCTGTGAATCGTCTGTGCAACCCTTAGTGTAAGTTCAAAGCCTTATCTGTCTGTTGCTGACCTTGGTTTTTCAGGTCCTCCTCTTCTGTTCTTTGCTTACTTTGTGTTTTCAGACTGCAGTGCATTTTCAAAGAGTGAAAATTGACCCTGAACACTGTTGCTGCTCAGAAAAGAATAATTTCTTTTTCACTGTTGGAAAGAAACATTTGCAGAAATAAGTGCTGTGTTTTCATTGACTGTTACATTCAATTACAGTTTAAATATAATTGCTTTGCAGTGAGTTCATGTATTTCTATAAAATGTCACTGTTCTTGGTGTTGGCACACGTAAGTGACATTTGGATTGGCTTACCTGTGAAAGCAAGTCCTTGTTTCCATTTAATCACTCATTGAGTGGGGCAAAAGTGAAAATCCTATTTCCTCATTAAAGAGAAAGGGAGGCAGTTGAAGTGGGAAATACCAGCCCAGCCCTAATCAAAATTTATACTCACAGTTCCTGGAACCACCCTTCCCTTCCCTACAGCAGTTTCTGCCAAAGCCATTCTGTCTCTCCTACTTATTATCTCCTGTTTTAACATCTGGCTATTTCTTGTGAGGTGCCTGTATCTACATTGCAGATTTTCTTTTGATATCAGAATCCATAGTAAAAATGTGTACAGTGCTGAGAATGACCACTAGCATGGCAATAGTAGATGGATGTCTGTAGATGCATGTAGGCTAATGTTGAACAGGACGGATTTGGACAATCTCAGATGCAGAGTTCTGGGCCATCTGAGTGCATGGTGGGGGCTCAGAGCTGGCACATGCTTTGTGCAAACTTTTTTAACAAAAGAAATCCCGTTTCTTCCCAGTGTGCTCAGTGTGTTTCTGTACAACTATTGCAGCCCTACTTTAGGAAGGATCTGGTTGCTTAGGGTGGAGTTGGTTTTTTGTTACAATTTTTCAGTAGATTCACTATTACATTACTAGAAATGATCCCAGCTCTTGAAGCACTGTGTGCAATTATAGATGAAGTTCAACATTCAGAAGAATTAGAATTCATGTTTCAGTAATGGATATTATGTCCATACCATTTCCCTGTTTCTCCTATAAATGTATTTTCTTATATGTTGTAACCTTTGAAACGCTGCAATTGTGTATCTCCAGGGAAGTGTATACTGTAGGGGCCGTAATAGACTGCCTGCTTCCCTGTAAGGATTTTATCTTCTTATGCAAACGACAGTGTAGTGAAAAGTAATTATCTTGTCTGTTAGGGTTTCACAGGTATTCTTTTACATGGAATCAAGAGTGAAGGCTGTGACGTTCCTGTCATAGCTACTCAGTTTTCCTCCTTTCCCGTGCAGATATGGGGTTTCCCTACAGGACTGTTGTACTGAAAATAAGAGGTGATATTTTTAAACAGATCTCCACAGCAAATAAATATCCTCTATCTGAGGTATTTTAGACAAGTTACAACTCATCTCTTTTGCACGATGCCATGGTAACTACATGACAGCAATTAAAAAATTAATAGAAGCAGAGTCTGGGCTGTGCTTCGTCCTGGGCCTGGCACTGTTGTTTACAAGCATAGGTGTGGGCAGAGAACACCGTGTCTGACATCCCAACGTGCATGTAGCTGGGCACCAGTATCACTAAACTGAGTTTAGCCAGTTAGAGATGAAATCAGAAGTGCTGATTGGCTTAGAGGAGAGTATTTCAAGAGGGCCGAAAGAAGAGAGCTCTTCAGTTCCAATCTCTCAAACCCATGAGAGGCTTCTGTAAAAGCTAAACAAGCTTGGAAACTTCTCTGGAGCAGAGATGAGGCGCATGGCTGTTTTGGTTCTTCAGGAAGCACTTGATCTCCCTGGGGTGGTGGGAAGGAAAGCGGATTTCAGTGGCAACATTTGGGACTGCCAGTATTGAACCAAACAAGGGCAGTTTGCGTTCAGTCACACCTCAGTGTAACTGAGGGTGAAATAACCAATGGGCCAGGCAGGCAGCTTGTTGGCTCCAGTGGTTTTACAGAGGAGCTTTTCGGGTCCTCATTCTGAGAGTGCATGCGGTGACTACTGAAGTGATTTCTGGAGAGTAATGCCTACAAATGGGCTGATGTCTGGGTCTCTGATGATACTTATGTTTCCTCTTAATCATGGAGAGGCAATAGACATACCGTGTCAGTTAAGAAATTGAATTTCCACTTGCCTCTGAAGATCCTGGGAAGTAGAACAAAGAAGCCACCACTCCCCATGAAATTAGAGGAATTAGAAATAGATAATATGGAAAAAGAGTAGCATAAGTAAAACAGCCAGTACAACAGCTGGGAACGAAGAGAAAGAGGAGAGCTGGAAAATCCTTTGGGATCTGGCCAGATGTTTTTTCTTGAAACGCTTTCCAACGGAGAAGAGCTTATCAATGCAACTGTCTAAGTTCCAAAAGCTGAAATTAATCTGTTCTGGTTTGGGGTTTTCACTGAAAACTTTCTAGCTTTTAATTTTACCACCCTTTTCTCCTAGAGGATGGAATCCTGTCCTGACCTGCTTTGTTTTGGGGGGTTGTTTTTTGCATTTCAATTTCTTTTAAAGTACAAAAACAACAACAAAGTCCCACTGGATTCCTCCAGCCAACGTGACAATGCTGTTAAAGCTGATCAGACAGAAAGAATCAAGTGACCTCTTTCAAACTTTTCCACTAATTTTTTCCCAATTTCCACTAATTTTTATATTGTTTTGTTTTCCCACCTCGACTTGTGGAGTTACCGGGATGGGATAGCTAAGCAGTGTCTAATCACAGGGTCTGAGTCAGTGGATGCCTGTGTGGAGCAGCAGTCTGAAGTGCCTGCAGTGTGACCTCTGAAGTGCTGAGCTGTCTGAACCCTTTCTATCTTTCTATCTTTTTTTCTGGTTAGGCATACTTATGACAGCATCAAGAAAGTGACCAGCAGCAGGTTCCCTAACCTCTTTTCAGCTGACCAAAAATGGTTCCAGCGAGCACTGTTCAGAGGGCAGAATCATTGCAGGAAGTTTGATAGACAACCTCTTTGTTTCTTCAAGGTGCTGTTAGTTATGAAGTCCTAACAGCAAACCAGTTTCTGCACTAAATAGAAATACTAAGAAGGAAAATGATCATTGCTGATGTTTCATTCTAGTGTAGGTAGGCTTTGGTGACAGTTGGTAGGAACTAAGTGGAAATAATCTCAGCATGTTTTGGAGCTTTGGACTTTGAGACAACCCTACTTCTGGCGTTCCATGTGTTACTTCATGTCTACACTGACTAATACATTTCAGGACATCCAGATGAATAAACCAGGCTAAAGAAACAGATGGGCTTAAGAATCTGTCATTATGTAAGGTACTCATCTGGCCAACAAACTTCTTTTGTTAGACAGTAATTCCCATAGGCCAAAACTTGTCTCCTGGCTAAGGCATCTTCCCAGAACTTAGTCTGTCCTCCAAACTTGCTCAGAGTTCAAAGGTGTTTGAATCTAAAAGTGCAGGCATGCCCCTGCTTTGACCACAGCTCTGAAGTCCTAGGTGAAGGCTGTCTGAAGAGCCTGACAACACCGGTACTTTTGGCCTTCCCTCTGCAGCAGTTCTCTGAGCAGTTATCCTACTCTTTCTTGAAAGTCTTCAATACATCTGTGAGACCAGTCTGTCCAGACGTATCACCAGTGCTTCAGACATGTACCTCATGCTTCCTGAAGCAGTATTCTCTACACTGCACTGAACAGCATTAAATCACATCTGTCTGTAGTAGATTTATTGTCCTCACATAAGTATGGAGGGTTTCTGAGTGTAAGGAAAAGCTGATCACGGCTTTCAGGGAAGAAGAGAAGCATGATACCATGAGAGCCTGCTACAGTGACTGTGCTCCATATCTGTACCGTACTGAAGTACAGGTCTGTAACTTGGGCTGACTAGCTTGTGGCTGTTGAGAAA